CCAGGGATGCCTGTGCTGATCCAGTTTCCGTGGTCTCCGTGGTGATCGACACGTAAACTTCAGCGTGACGGCTTGTTTAGTTCTCATACATAAGCTTGTATGAGGTCATATATATATGAATAAATTTAGCTACAAATTATATAGTAGCTGAGGTGCCCTGAATTATAAACCACGAAGAACAGCTAATCACCATAATTTGTAACATTGTCCTGAAAACTGCCACATTTAAATATTACACCTGTGAAAAAAACACACATTGGGTTTTATTTGGGATTCTCAAATAGTGCCAGCATTAAAGTTCAAAAACCAATTATTCCATTCTTCCACACTTTCTCTGAGCATCTGGGGGATACATTATCTCATTAAATCTTCATAATACTATTATGAGTATTAATAACTAACTGCCTAAGAAGACAGTAAGATCCCATTTCTATAAAGGAAGTCTTTGAGCTGAAGAGAAGCAACTTTTCCAGGGACAATTAACAGTTGGTTATAGAGATGGGGCTTCTGAGTTTGAGACACTTTCCATATGTCAGGCTCACTCTAGATAACTTACTGGGCTGTACTGCCCTCAGTTCCTGACTACTTCACTTTACTTTTTCTTCTTCTTTAATTATACATGCTAAATTTAAGTGTTTGTAGATTGTACAAATTTGAAGTATATGGGACAACTGAACTTTTGATATCTCTGATATTATCTGAAATAATTAAGAATTTTATACATTTGGTAATTATCTTTCATATTAGTATTCAAATAGTAACATTTATTTATCCCATTATTTTATATATAGCATTTACCAGCTGATTGTCGACTACAGAGAAGGAAAGATACCAAAAACTCCCTCTCAAAATAGCGTTCTGGGACAGAGTTCTGGTAATAAGTTAATCTTGTTGGTCTTACCATAGATAAGGAAGTAAGATTGAGGAACTTTTGATAATGAAAGAGCAGTGAAAAAAGCCAGTGTGTAAATTTCATGTATGTTTTAATTTTTTAATTAAGTTTTTCTTAATGGTCTAGTATTCAGAATTATTTAAGGAGTTAATTGTAGGTAATTTAAAATCTGAGACAATAGTGTCTGAAAAGAAATTCACTTAATCATAGCCCCTGAAATCCCATATTATATCTTTGTGTAAATAAGAAAAATGTTTTTAACTTTGTTGTACATTTCCCCTAACATTATAACAAAGTGACCTTGTTATAGAACTGGATCTTTAGTTTTTATAGCGAATGGATTACATTGGGTAAATGAATGCTAGTTATTGCATAGTGATTAATCTCACTAAAAAAGTTACTGTCTTTAAAACGGAACTCGGCAGTGCCTTCCTGGTGCTATAAACAAATGGCCAACATTTAGAACTGCACAAGTGGGCCAGTGTGCAGCACACTAATAAGAGATTGTTTTTTGAAGATACCGAGTGATAGCGCAGAAGTCAGAAAAGCAGAGCCTTGTTGAGAAACACTGGTTACTTTCTGCATCCTTACGCCAACAAGGTCCCACTCGGTTACCAGTTTCATTCCTCATAAGTGCAGACAGAATGCGATATGTTGACTTCAAGAGAGTGAGATGTTTTCTTCTTTTTTGGGGGGATACTTGTCTTGAGACTATAATTTTGTTAGGACAAGATTCTTTGTTGCCATTAGTTAAAGGGTTGTCATAATAAATACTCAAATAGCACAACTCAGGACTCAACAAATTGCAATAAAAACACAGAAGGGCTTAACATAAGGAAATAAAAAACAAAAAAC